TTGGTTCTCTTTTGTGTCTTATTGGGTTTAAAACTCCTTCAGATGAAACCATGTAAGGAAAAAAAAATCTCTAAATTTTCTCTTATTTCAAGCCTCAATAGTGGGAAAATGGGGGTTAATTTATAAATGTGGGTGAACCTGCAGCCAAATCCTTTGCTGATTTAAGTTATTATCAACAGTCAGCACAGAATGCTTAAATAATCTGAAAATATGATTGCAGAATCCCACCATGCAAAAGATGGGGTTATTAAGTAATTCACTTAATCAGATGACTGAGAAAACAGGTCGACATGTGTCTTTCAACCATCTCTGAACAGGTGCTTTCATTTCACTGGGTTGCTTTTATATATTAAATCTTTAGAGGACAAGGGATTTTTAATGCTTTAAAACACTCACCTGGTTATTTTTAACCTCAGAGCTGGTCCTGTCTTAAGTAGAGCAGACAGCAGAAGCCAGCTATTCAAGGAGATTCAGTTGTTTCAGTTCAAATCTTCAGTGTAATTTTAAGCTGCACACGATAACCTGTAGCCTACTTTAAAAAATAACAATAAGTAAAACCAGTCTCAGTATGATTATGTCCTAAATAAAAATGATCCAGCGGTTTCTAGAGAATAATACTTTAACAATATTACAGTTATATGAACACTACTTTAACTAAAACGCTAAATGTTTTAGTTAACTGTAACGCTTGGAAGTGTCGCAGTTCAACACTGCCCTCTGCTGGTAGTTAAGCTTGGTTCCAATGAGAAGTTCCCACATGCATAAATTGTATTTTTTCTCAGTTTTTTAAAATTTTATTTCTCTACAGCTGCACCAAATTGTTATACAATTCAAAAACTAGTGGGTCAGATGTCAAATTTCATTATGTTTTGATTTTACACATTATGCAAAATCATGTAAGAAAAATAAGCAACTCCAATGTGCTTTTCCTGGCTTAGATTACACGTAGCTCTGCACCATAAACTTGTTTTTGAAGAACATCTACATTCGTGATGCTTCTTGACAAATTTATTTTTTAAAACCCTTTCAAAAGTCTGAGTGATACTTTTCATATTCCAAGTAAATATAACCATGAATACACAAATGCTACCTTCTTGTGATAGCTACTAATACAACTGCCTACACACAATTTTTAAAGAGAAGCTGCACTCACAGCAGTGTCTTCGTCTTAAACATATTCATGTTGTAGTAAATGCAGTTTACTTCAATGAGAAATAAAATAGTCATGACACATTTTATAAACATGTATTCATCTTTATTGGCCAGATGAGTTTAGCTCAGACAATAACTCCATATTGTTTCAGAACATCTGTGTATTTTGCAATCTTGGACTCGACGTTCTTTTCTGCCTGCTTGGTCAGATTGATCAGTGTCTTTTTCTTGGTGTAGCGGAGCTTAGACTTCTCCTTTCTCTTCTCCTCCAGAGTGGCTGTGATAGCCTGGTACTTCCAGCCAACCTCATGTGCCAGACGCCCAAGGAGGGCGAACTGAGGGAGAAATGAAAAACCATATGAAATCAACAGTTCACAAACTGAAGAGAACAATGTTACACAAACTAAATGGTTGTGCCTGCCAAACTCAAAATTTACAGCCGAATAATCGTAAATGGAGTAACCTTATTGTCACCCTTTATTTTCTTTCCTTAACAAAAAACAACCTTGTAGGCTCACCTTGCGAGAGGGCTTCAGACGCACAACTTTAAGAGCAGCTGGGACAACCATGCGCTTCCTCTGTAAATCAAATAAAGCAAAATCAGATAACGAAGACAACAGCACATCTGAACTGCTATAGGCAGCGTGTCTCAGACATCATTTCTTTTCATGGTTACTATTCAGACAAGGCAGTTAAGATGTATGGCATCACAGACAGCACAGTCAAAGCCACTTGTGGGGGCCGTAAAGATTAAGGAAAGACATTACCAGCATACCTTGTCATAGGGTGGGGGGATACCATCAAACACCTTCAGCCTCTCCAGAGCAGCCTGACCTCTCTTGGTTTTGTGAGGCAGCATACCTGTTTAAAGAGAGATTGTGCTTTAAAAAAATAAAACAACCTCAGTTTCCATCAACATATGCTAAACTGAAAAAAAGTCAGATGTCTGAAGTCTGCTTCATCAATAGATCATTAGCTTTGCTATAAACAGCTTTACTGTGCTAAGCAAGTATCATAGATGAATGCAAATACACCCCTTCATGTGCCGGTAGTGTCACTTCCTCACCTCTAACGGTCCTCCAGAAGATCTTGCTGGGAGCCCTGAAGTGGTACGGACCACGAGAGGGGTTGGTGTTCATCCTCTTGCGCAGGAAAGCCAGGTACTTCACTGCAAACAGGCACATGATCCAGAAGAGATATACATTAGCCACATTACACATACATCAAGATACATGCAAGGGGCAACCATTGCTCTATTAAGTAATGCTGATGCCTCAGATGGTAGTGCATGTAAGGTTTTCTCATGGTCTGTGAAACTCAAACTAGTAAAACATCACCGACAACAAGCATTTTAAAGGACTGAAAATAGGACATAACCCTACTTACGCTTGTTACGGTAGAAGTTGCCAGAGATGTTGATGCCTTCACATCTCACCACCACCACTTTGTGGCCTAAAAGACAAAATGCCAAAAGTTAATCCCAACAGTTAAAGGGAGTAGCAAACAGGTGCAGATACTGTTTGTTTCCTGTCTCAGATGGTAGTGCATGTGAGTTTTCTCATTGTCGTTAAACTCAACCAAGGCAGTTAATACAGTCATCATCGACAGAATGACACAACAGCAGCCAACTATGAACACATTGTTCATCAGTCTTACATGCTGCAAAACACACTGTGCGACATGGATCTGACACAAGTCTGGAAGTTAAAGGTAAAGTTTCATCGTAGCATTGGTCGGTCTTTGTAGCCATCTGTGTGTCTGCATGTTTTGTGTGATTGCATCTGGACCATGTGTAGAAAGAGCATACAATGCTCTCTGCGGGACTTTTGCACAAACAGTCATTTTTCACATACAAAATGCAAGTGTTTTTTTAAAGACATTACCCACCTGAACTACACATGAGGACACAAATATCAAATTTTTTGGAATGGAAATCAAATACTCATCCTTCTAGTTCTCGAATAACCGTATAATTCCTAACTGATGCTATGTAACAAGAGCCAGTAACTAGAGAATTCCCAGAGCAAGTGGACATGAGTATTTTCAGAAACAATACTACTGACACTGTTCACAGTTCAGGTGTGTAAAACTATACTAGATTATGTGTTACAATCCAAACCACCTTATTTTGCACAGTTTACCTCCAACAGCACCCCACAATGGCTCAGCTATTTCAGGTTAGTTTGCACTGCATTCCTACTGAATGGTCAGCAGGTACAGCAGCAGTCTCATTATGAGATACTGCTACAAAATTTCTGACACTGTCAGGATATTGCTCCAAGGAGTCCATGCATGTAGTGTGATACAACAGCTAAATTCGAACCTCTTGACTAGGACAGTCCAAAAATCGCACAGTGTATACTTAACTTAAATTGTTTATTATCAAACATTTATATTGTTTATTACCAAAATTCCTATTAATCTCTGAAAACTTACCCAGAAGAACCTGTTTAGCCACAATGGCAGCAAGTCGGCCGAGCAGATGGCCCCTGCCATCAAGCAGCAGAACCTAAAATAAAAGGTGGGGGAAAAGGATATCAATGCTTTATCCTCACCGTGAAAAAACATCCTAGTAATTCCCCTATAATCTTGTATAGTAATGTTAATCAACTTGCATTTACTATCTACTTGACAATCGTCACATTATCAGCCTTGCACTAACATACAAGTTAAACGGTAATAAAACGCATTTAACCCCATCACTGTTTAATAAAGGGGTTTACTGTGAACTGAACTGTATTTCTGGCTCCACGTCACTGTGATAAATGGCACATGGGACACTATTGACTTGCCGGTTGAGACATAACGTTTGCTTAGCATCTAAACGAAACCGCGCTGACGATTAACCTTGTATTTTTTGAGTTGAAATGTCATGAAAGGTTCCCTACACAGAAGCAACGAAATACCACCCATTAAATTTAGTTAAGTTTGCCGGTACGTTTCCCATACGACCATATATCCAGTACACACGTTAAACCTAGCCTCGCAAGCTAACAGCGTTGACTCAGGGAAGCTGCCATGATGAAGGCACGCTCACTCGGCTATAGCGAGCTGCCTCAGACATTCCCTAAAAATAGGTCTCAGAAAAAACACTGAGCAAAACAACGACTACACAAAGCTGTCCCAAGTTATCGCCAGTCGCTTAACTGCAAAACACAAGGTTTTATTTTGCCTACAGAGCTGAAAAATGATATAATATCTCCAGAGCAGCTTCCCACCTTATTGAACCGGTCCGCCATGATGTGCGAAAAGAAAGACAAACGGGGTTGCTCGTGGTAAAAGGCAGGGGTGGGCGGAAGTGACGACAGCTTCCTTCGTTCTCGTGGCTCACAGGCTATGAAAAAATAGCGCCACTGTTGGGCGAATTAAGTTCAGTATTATAAATTATGTATACTATTATGTATTATATAATTATATATTAATTATATAGCAATCGCAGTTTTGCTTTGCTGCTCCAGGACCTGGACAACTTGTTGTAATTCTGCTCTCTACCAGAAAATGCTGAATGAGAATGTTCCATCATCAGTTTGTGCCCTGAAGCTCAAGCACACTTAGTTTAGGCAACAGGACAATGATCCAAAATGCACCAGTGTCCACTTCTAAAGGGGAAGGGAGAAAAAAATAAGTGGTAAAGTCCTTTCAAGCTTGAAAACTCAGTAGATGTACCTATGATATCAATTTGAATATCCTAGGTAGGCTAGGTAGGCAAAAAGCAAACAAAGAAAAAAGAAATCATAAAGGTGTTAAATACTTTTAAAGATCTTAATAGTATTAAATTTATATTACCCTACTTCAGATCAAGATGGCTTTAAGGAGCAGTTTGAAACACATATTGACCAGGTCACATATTTGTGGTGCCAGATAACTTTAATTATCTTTTTTTTTTACCATTTTTATATCTCACATTAAAGGTGTGCTGGTTGCAGCTTAGTCAATTTTATCACTTGATTTGCTGCCTATTGTTGCTCATTGAAAACAATGTTTCTCACAAGTTCACAAACTGTTCACTGAAATAAAACAGTTGCATGAAGCACAGATTATATTTAGTCTTTTTCACTTTGGCATTGTACCTGTGACATACGGCACACCAATGAACAACATCACACAGGAAAATGTTCTTGGAGAGCATGCCATGGAACCCGTACTCATTTCTTTTAATCAATTTTAATACCTTTCAAGAATTTACATAAGTACCATCACTCAAACATTCATGACTGGCATAACACAGTGCACGCAGAAACTAGTGTGGTTACTAAATGAGTCTTGGACAGTGAGGAGAAAAAAAACAAAACTTTTGTTTTATTTTAAAGGCTTCACTCAGTCATCATGCTTCAGCTTTCTGATCTTTCCCTTGTGGCGGTCAATCTCGCGCTGGAGACGTTCAATCTCCTTTTTGTGGTGATCAATTTCGTCCTCATGGTGCTGCTTTAGTGCTGCCAGCTGCTCCTTCTCCTTGCGCCTTATATGAAGAAAGACAGATATCACACAAGCTTATTTTCATGTAGAAGAGGTGGAAAAAGTGGACAAAAACTGTCTCTATAAGTTGAATTTCATACTTGAAGTACATCTCCTCCTCTGCAGCCTGCTTCTTCCCCATGGATCCACCTGCCTCTCTGATAGAGCCTCCACCACCACCACCTTTCCCGGCACCTTTACCCAGCTCACCCAGCTGAGTGGGTGGGGAAGTATTTAAGAGAAAAACAAGTTTAGTGAATTAACTCAGCAACAAGCAAAAAAATAAACAAACCCCAAAACCCAATAATAAATGCATAAATAAAAAATAGAGCTCTGAGTATTTTCTATAAAGACATTTCTTTAACAGATGGCAGCTTAAAATTAAACATTTCTTAAAGTTACTTTCTTTCTCAACTTTAGTGATCAGGGCTTTCTGTGTGATATTAAGGTGAATCTGCTGGACACTGTGAAAACAAGCCCACGTTGAAGGTCAAGGTTTTATATTTTTTGAGTGGGTTAAAAGGCTTCTTTGTTTCCAAGGTGATAATGGAGATATCTCGAACAGACCAGAAACGCTTTTTGAGCAAAACCTAAACGTCTGAGAGGACAAAGCAGCTCACAAAACCAAATTCTTTTTCTGAATAGTCTGACAGGTGGCAGTGCATACAAAATTAACCCCCTTGGCATATATAACCTATAATTATTAGGTAATAATGTTCAATTAGAAAGCTAATACCACAGTGCTACAGCAGGTGAACCTGTCATTAAGGTTTTCAGCTAGCAAAAATGATGAGGCTAAACATGTCACACCGCTGTATAACGGTTACACGGTATTTGCAATGAAGTGAGGCGGTTGCAGGACGTTTATTACCTGGTCGGATGACATTCTCAGCTGTGAGGTGACAAAAGTCCTGATATTAGGCCTCAAAAACCTCGCCATGTTTATGAAAACACCACTGACAAGTAGTGTCGAGCTTGTCCTTGTCCCCAAAAATACACCACAGGACGGCGCCATTATGTCCAAGGCGGAGGTGCCAACAGAAGATACGTTAGTTCAATTAAATGATACATTTAAAAAATCTATTCATACGATGATGTATTATTTCAATTTATCTGCTAAATATATTTCATATACATAACATGGAATAATAACATAGTGCAGAAAAAACACAGTGTTTAATTCCCGCAGTGGTATGGTCTTAAAAATGGACACCGCATTGCCTCTCTTTACGTAGCAGCTAACCTTATAATTTTTGTTATGCTACATACCAATAACGCAACACGATGTGTGATTTTTTTAATTCATTTTTTAATTAATTTAAATACTATATACATTCACAGCTAGTGAACAAAAAGGGGTTTAAAATGTTTTTTAAACAAAAAAACAAAATCAACAATAACAATGGTTATTTCTACTTTTTTACATAGCTTAATTAAATAACTTGTGAATTGGGTTTTTTTTAAATTGATATTTTAGTACACAGTAATTTTTTATCTAAAGAAATAAGTTTATAAAACATCAATTTATTTTTAAGCTGAGCATCAGGATGGGGAAGAAAGGGTATTTAATTAACTTTGACCATAGCATGGTTTTTATAAGTACTTCAAAATCTGCTGATCCATTGGGAATTTCCCACACAACCATCTCTAGAGTTTACAGAGATTGTAGGAAGGCAACAGTAATTCAAATACATGAATGTACATGCCAAACCATGAACCAGATGGGCTACAGCAGCAGAAAATCACATGAGGTGCCACTCCTGTTAGCTAAGGAAACTGAAGCTACAAATCTCAGAAGCTCACCAAAACTGGAAAAAAAAAGAAAAAAAATTTCCCCTGATCTGATAAGACTTACCTTTTGTTGTCATATTCATGTTAGGGTCAGAATTTTTAAAACAGCATGAAAGCATGGATCTGTCTTGCCTTGCATTAATGGTTCTGGTGTTGGTGGTGCAGGGGATATTTTCTTGGCATCCTTCTAGCCAAAGATCAGAACATCTCTGTACTCACATGACCTCGAGTCTCCAGGTCTCAATCCAATAAAGCATATTTGGGATGTGGTGGAACAAGAGATTTGCTTCACGGATGCCCAGGAACTGTGTGATGCCATTATATAATTATCAAAATCTCAGGAATGTTTCCAGCATTTTGTTGAATCTATGCATTACAGATATGGTGTAAAATGCCTCAATTCATACAGAGAATATATCTATATGAATTAAGGCAGTTTTGAAGGTATAAAAGGGGTCCAACCAGGCTGTGCCTAATTAAGTGTCCAGTGAGCATTTTGTGTGTGTGTGTGTATATACACACACACACACACACACACACACACACACACACACACACATATATATGTAAAATTAAAAATATATTCCAAAGTCATCACTGGATGTAAATCTTATCTTTTGTGTGATTTTCGCAAAATTTTTTCTAAGTAAAACAAGCACCCCAAATAAGATAAATGCTTAGAAGATTTTATTCAACACTGCAAAGAAAGCATACACCCCCTCTCTGAGCAAACCAAACTCTGGCTCACGTGGTGAAATCTTGCCATCTCCCTCCCATAAGTCCCCTATAAATACTTTGCTTACCAGGTATCGCTGGCATGAAACAAAGAGAAAAACCAAACAAAAACTATGAAACTCTACACGAACTTAAAAATTCAAATCACATTCAACATTTTTTTTTCAACAATTCACTCCATATATCATTACTCTAATCACCAAAGTTACATATGTACAGGTATGGTTGGACCCTACATGACAAGCAGGTGCTTAAGAAAATTAAAACAGCAGCCCCTCATTGCATGTAAAAAACAAAACAAAAATAACACGTCTAATGTAATGTTCAAACGAAACATTTCGCACCGCTCTGTTCACTAGGTGATCATTATGGGTACAAAGAGGAGAATTGGAGGCACTCGTATTTTGTCACTGTGACAAAGAATCTACAGAGTTTCTCTTTAAATAAAAATTAAAAAAAGCACTGAATTGATTAGTAGACTCATGAATATTCACTTGAACTTGACAATAAATGTTGCACTTGCTGTACAAATCAATCTGGCCCGTGCATCTGTAAAAAGCATTGTAATGAGTAAATATACTGTATGACTAATCATCTTAAATTAATATAAATAAAAAAAAAAAAACAACTTAACATTTAACAGCCAAATAACTTGTCAATTTCATTTGAGCTTCATACTTAGAAGGGAAAAAGAATGATGTACTGAATAAATTGTACAAAAATAAAAGGATTTCTAAAAACAAATCTATGAGTGCAATCTGAGAAATCTGATATGTGCTCTGACAATTGCTTTTTTCTTTACACGTTGTCCAGATCTATCACACACAGCAAGTGTGTAAATGGTTTTTCTGAATAAAAGAAAAAGAACAGTACAGGCTTAGATTTTTTTTTTATGGTTGCCTTGTGCTGATATGTTTTGGTTTTGTTTAAAACTAACTTTCAAAGAAAAAACAAAAAACAAAAAGTATGGCAAGTGAAGAAAAGGATAAAATAAGATAAAATTTGCTAATGGGGGGCAGAAGGGAAGGAAAAAGACCAGGGTGCATCACAGGGCCAGGAGCGGTCTGCGGAGGCCCTTCGGAGGAGGCAGCGGTCGCCGCTCCCCCTTCCTGCCCCGTCAGTCTTGCTTGGTGTTGCCCAGTGCTCTGAGGCGCTCAAGGAGAGGAGGGTGGGAATAGTGCCACATGGAAAACAACCAATCAGCAACAGGGAAGCCCAGGTTGTCTTTGTTCAGCTTGATGAGAGCCGAGTAAAGCTCTGAGGCTTTGCCCATGCCGCGAGCAAAAGCATCTGCCTGGAACTCAAACCTGCGACTCAGGACCGTCAGACAGAAAGACAGAACCTACAAAAGCGAGGAAGAAGAGAAATATTTAAACATCTCAAAACAACAGGGTTTAATTATTCAAACTTTCATGATCTCACACATACCTCGTTGTAAGGAGAAAAGATGAACTGGAAGATAATCATCAAGCCTATTAATGTGGGCTGGCTGTCATCGAAGCCAAAAGCTACAAACAGCTCCTTACGTCCAATCAGAACAGCAAATAAGGAGAAGCACAGGAAGGAATTCATCTGAAGAGATAAAAATAGATTCAGTTCAATCTCTGAATGTCTGTAGTATGATCTAATCAGGCTTTTATATGCTTTGGGATAAAACAAAAAGACATCCATCTGGGAGAAATCACCTGACTAATGACGATATTCTTGACGGTATGACCAAGCTTCCAATGGCCAAGCTCATGACCCAAAACAGCAAGGATCTCTGGGTTGTTGCATCCTTGTTTTTTGTTCTGTGACAGAAGATTCAAAATCAGTCACCTAAAATTTCCAACAACATCAAGCCTAAACATTAATACATTTAATACTTTGGGCTTTTCCCAATCCTTTATTAAAGGATTTTAAAAGCAAAACAGAGCTTAATGACAAAAAAGATATATATCTTTCAAGCTCTCAGACCAGTTGTTATCAAGCAAAAATCAACCAAAGTGTGTTTCAAGACAAGTAAGAATACTCTGTCTTTAAAAGTGTTTTTATGAATCAAGTGAAATTCTTCGCAACCTTGGGCTTGGCTTTAGACTCGCTGGATGTCTCATCACTCTCTGGCTGCTCAGGCTGTGACTCTCCAGCCTTGTTGAGCGGCGAGTAATCCTCCAGCAGTGTGTCAAACAGCACAATGCGTTTGTTCTTGAAGAACCCGTAGAAGTATGCATTGCTGTGTGAAGAACGTTTAGAACCTGGAAACAAGACAAAAATTCATGGATCTCCAACCAACCATCGCTCCACAATGTAAAAAAAACAAACAAAAAACAACATACTAATGATTGCAATGTAATAATAAGGGGCTTGATAATGTAAGGAAAAGACTCTAGAACAACAGAGAGAAATCCCCAACAAACGACCCACAATGAGCAAGCACTCTGTGACAGTGGGAATGATAACTAAAAAGACACATTCAAGACATACCTTCAACTACGTAAATTTTGGTGAGGGGGAAGCTTATGCTCTTGGCCATGGCTTCGATATCTGTCTTTAACTCTCCATCTGGCAATGGTGTGAATTTGTCAAACAGGGGAGCAATGTAATCAGCATAGATGGTTACAAGTACCTTAGAAGACAGAGATGACAGGATGTATTACAGGTGTAGTATCAACTATGTACTTCTTTTGAGTTTCTCACTAGTTATCTGACAAGAAACCCATTTTCTTATTACACAGTGATGCATTTTCAACGTTTTCACAGAGCAAGGCGAATGCGCCACTAACCAGAGAAACGACCAGGGTAAAGAGCCAAGCATAAATGAAGAAGTAGTCTCCGCCGATCTTTATGATGTACAGCAGCAGGGAGGTCACAGGAAGCAGGATGCACTGAGTGACAGCAAACTTCTTCACGGCATCTTTGAGGAAAAACCCCAACGTCTGAGAGGAAGAGCAGACATTAAAAGAGAACAGAGTAAACAGGAGATTAATACAGTGTGTTAGAGTTCTGATTTCTTTTTACTTCTTCACAGATTCTCCGGTCTTTGAATTCATTTTGGGTTTAAACAGACAAAATTTCACAGTCAAAAACTTCAGTCCATCAAAGTTCTTATTACATTTTAAATCGTTTGTGTTTTTGACATTAAACAACAAAGACACAGCTTCAATATGAGCTCTGGAGCCCATCAACTGTGGTAACTTCAATCCAATCAAACTCAAGTTAGTCTCGGCAACAAACAGTGAGTGCATTCCAGCCAGTGTACCTGCTGATTAAAGCCGTGCTTCTCCTCAATGACGAAAGTGTTGTACAAACTCCAGGGGAGTCCAGTTATAGCACTGAACAGGGTAGCAAGCGTCAGAAACACGAGGGACTGGGTGATCTCGTATTCTGGACCAAATCCAAAGCGAGCAGTCACAGAACCAGCGACAGCCCACAGAAATGGTATTCCACCCAGTAGCAGAATCAGCTGAAACCGTTTTGAGCACAATATTTTAAATGTGTGGCATACAGAATGAGTTACTAGGCTAAAACAACG